ACGCTTGGTGGTGATCTGCTAGAAGTCGTTCAGGAATTCAAGTACCTGGGCAGCTATATTAGCACCCGTGGGATTGAAGATGAGGTTACGAACGCATAGCAAAAGCTCGAGGTGCTTTTGCCAATCTCCGCCACATGTGGCGCAGACGCGACATTACTCTCGCCCTGAAAGGCTGAGTTTACAACGCAGCCGTCCGTTCTACTCACTTATATGGTTGTGAAACCTGGCCCATCAGGTCGACTGACATGAAGAGACTCGTCACATTCGATCACCGCTGCCTTCGCAGCTTAGCTCATGTCTGGTGGAAACACCGCGTGAGCAATGAGCGTGTTCGACGTCGCGTATTTGGTGCAGGAAGAGCGAGTGAACCGCTAAGCACCATTATATCACGCACCAGGCTCCGATGGCTGGGCCACGTGTTGCGCATGCCAGCACACCGACTCCCGCGACGTGCATTGTTTGCGCGTTGTGGGTGCGGTTGGAAGAAGAGGAGGGGAGGCCAAGTGATGACTTGGTCGAGAGAAATGAAAACCCTCACTTCGAAGTTGGCGTCGGTTGGTGCATCCCGACTGCCTGGCTGGGGTCCTAAGGACGGTGAACACGTTTGGTTGGACACACTTGCTGATATGGCTAGGAGCCGGCACCAATGGCGTTTGTGTTGTGATTTCCTTTGCCCATCTCCCTCCAATCACGATCTCACCTGTTAGGCATAATATGATTTTCTTTTTACGGCAGCCAGCTGTTAGCTCTCCGAAACGATGTCCATCCGTTACTGGGGACTCAGCGGGCGTGCCTCTGTTTGTCACTGTTTTCCTTTTATTTTGTATCGCGGCACAATAGCTGAGGTGTTTTCCACCTTCAGCTAACGTGTAATGATAATGATGCGTACACGTTGGTGCCATCCGACGCCAAAAATGATCCGCAGATAACCATGATCAAAGAATTGAAGGTGCCTCAGATGCGCAGACCGAAGGGGCCAAGTTTCACTTTCATAGAGTAGGAGGGTCCTCATTGTGGCCTTGTAAACGCAGTCGTGCAAACGGAGGTTAACGCCTTTCTGACGCCAGAGATGTCGCTGAGATAAGAAGGTAGTTCTAGCTTTTGCAATACGTGAACTGACTTCAATCGTTGTGAGCCCTTCGTTGCTGATGTAACTACGAAGGTAAGTGAAGTGATCAATTACGGAATTACTCGTTATCAAAGAGCAACGTGGTCATTAAGTGACAGGTGGTCCTGCAACAATACATTGCACTTTGAATGTGCGGAGCGCATGCCAAATGATGGGACCACTCTAGGGATGTTATTCAAGGTTGACTGGGCCGCACCAACATGGCTAAACAGCAAGGAAATATGGTCCGCACAAGCATGATCAACCAGCCTTTCACCAGGCAACACCTCAAGGCCCGCATCGTGAGATTCTGCAAGGGAGCTCTCCGTGATGGAGCTCACGATGAAAGTGAACAAGGAAGAGGAAAAGGAGCAACCCTGACGTACGCCACTTGTCGGAAAGAAATACGGCAAATCACAGTAGGCTTTAACACACCATGTGGTGTTCGAGTAAAGGGGAAGCAAAACGTTCACATATTTCACGGGAACATCTTTACATGCAAGTATTTCGAACAGAAAGTATCGATCGACTCAGTCAAACGCACTCTTGTAGTCGAGGAACACAGCCACTGTCAGCCTGTGGTATGCGTGACGCAGTTCTAGCACCTACAGTAGAATGAATATGTGGCTTATACAGCCACATCCTGGGCGGAAATCTGTCTGCTCTTCCCTATTCTGGAAGTCCCGTTCCGCGGTAAAGCGACGAATGAGAATTGAGGCTGGTATTTTTGTCACATCTAGTTAGCACGGTCAGTGCCTTTGCCCTTCTCGTATTATGCCGCTATAATTGATTCACTGCAGTCAGATGGGATGGCCTATACTTTCGATACCTGTTTCGACAGTGAACTCAGTGTTTTACAGAGCACCTCACCGCCATCCTTAAGTAGTGCGGGTGCGAGCATCTCGAGAGTGATAGCGTTTCGGACCTCAGCTTCCGATAGAACTTCTAGACTAACCGGCCACAAGGCTCAGTTTGCAACACCTGAGTGGAAGGGGTCCAGAAACACCGGCCCAACTGAACTGTCCTCGAAAGTGCTCCGCGCGATGAGCCATACGGCATCCCTTATTGGGAATCAGAACAAGCGCGTTGCTCATAATTGTTTCGCTAACATCTGATTTTCTGAGACCAGTGGTGCGGATTAGTTGGAAGAGTTTGCGATAATGGCTTACTGCTCCGGCCTCCTCCATTTCTCGAGCTCTATTGGTCCACAGGGCTTCTTTGTCAGCACGTAGGCTCTACTTTAGTTCGCGTCCAGTAGTCCGTCTGGTCACATTGTGCTCAGTCAGCCGGACGTTTTCTTCTGGATTCCAACAGGTTCACCGACCTCTCGGATATCCAGTGACTGGTGCGGTGACAATCTATGGTGTTCAGAGCGTGCATGACAGCCGAGATCCTATTTCACTGAAGCTCAGTGTCATTAGGATAAGACAGCGAAATCTCGGTAGGCAGTGCGTCTTGATAGGCTCGTCTGACCGAAATCTGAGGCAGTTTCTCAGTTATCAATCGAGGGAGACGATTGGTACATTACCCAGTAAAGTTCATGGAAAAACGATAGCATACCAAGGCATGATCAAAGCCGACGAAAGTATACCAGAACGAGCGACAATCCGGGATGGAACCACGCCACCTATAACTTACGGCAAAGTGACCTATTTGAGTCCACTGTTGGCCAAGTGGCACTTCGGCGACCATTGTGCCCAGAAGCAAGCTATTAACAAATAGCCGGTGCTCCGCGCATAGTTGCAACGAACGCTCACCATTGCCCGTACGGACAGAGTTAAGTCCAGATTTACCAGGTAGTTGAGCTTCTGAAGAGCTCAGATGACCTACTTGCGCCTTCATATCCAATGCAACAACAACGACATATTAACTGGCAACATTGTGAAGCAGCGTGTTCGGTTCGTGGTACGTGTTCTTAACAGCATCAGAACTGCATAAGCGGAAACTACGAACAAACAGCGTCTAGCAATACTTCGTGAATCAACCTTAGTTGATGTCGTCAAACAAACGGCTGCTCACGGGAATCCAATCAAGCAATGGCGCCTCCGCCTTGGAGCTAAGAATGATGCCCACTCCAGCCGGTTGCCGAATCCGCGTCTCCGGATACGTTCAATCAATAGTGGGAAGACAAGCCGGTTGCAGTTAGTTCAACAATACTTGACCAAAGTTTCGGACACGCAACACGCGTCAATACCCGGAGTGTCCAAATTGCGTGCGAGTGCAGTCTTTGAGCTAATTGTCCTGGAGTGCGAACGTCGGACACCGTCAAGGAAACGGGACATGGCGGCTTAATAAGGAGCTGTTGGCAATCGGCCTCCAGTGGGTGGCGCGGAAAGATAGCCGCAGACCGTAGAACTGAAGTGGCATTGAGGTGGCTGTCAAATAAGTTGGGAACTACGGAAGGAGGATCAGTAATTGGGGTTTGGATAGAAGTAAGAGAAACAGGTAGAAAGGAAGCGTCAGCAGCACCATATTTACGCTTATGCGCCCTGTTGTATGTAGCAGATAAGGCGATCTTTGATAAGCTGAGCGACAACCAATGCAGGATGTGGTTGAAGGTTGAGAAAATAGTTATGATTATCGCGTGTTGAGATACTGACAACACGTCCAGATTTAGACGGGAGGATAAGGGTTCTCAATCGAGGCATTTGGCTCAAAAGCCCGTTCGCAAAGCAGCAGGGAGGTGAGGATGATTTGGTTTTTACAGAAATCGACACTATCCCATATCAACCCCCTAACCAAGAGGACCAGGAGACCAAGTTTGTTTGGCCTCTATCCATTGCCCAACATGGTAGGATTAGCTCTCAAGGGGCTCGGGGGCACCACCCGGTATAGCTCAATGGGGCGAAGAGGTACGTAAACTGTCGCATGACGTTAGGGTCTAGTCTCGTTGCGACCTCCCATCACTGCCTACTGAAGACACTGTTTCGTTTGCCGGTTGTAGGGTGGCGCAAAGCCCGAGGGATAAAAGTTGATTTCGCGGTGGAAAGTGAGTTCATAGACAACCAAACTGGATGGTGTTGGTCCGTTTCGCCTTCAATGATAGAGTCCACGCGAATAACCCTGAGTTTGACTCAAGAACTAACATGACGTGGATCGAGGCCGACACCAATGGCGTGCTTGCTGTCGTTTTCAATTTGGGCTATCTGTTTAAAGTGCCTTGTTTTGAGTTAGCTGTGAGGTAAAACTGAGTAAGACGCCGGGTAGTGAAAGCCATAAGGAGGCCGTAGTGTTCATAAATTTTCGCATCTTTGGAACTTCCTATTCCATTTTACGTCATTTATTGTACATTTGTTTCAATGCACACAACACAGATAAACGCTCCTCCGAACTTAGTTCGTCTTCTGGTTTCGGTGACGCTGTGTTGATTTGGATTGTTGTGTGCGTGCTTCTTATCGGTCGTCGGGATCTCCGTTTACGGACTAGCGTTTGATTTATCCGTTCTTGCTGTCAGACTAGTTCCAAATTTTTACCTGATGATAAGATCCTATCCGCCTAAATTTTCAGCAGTTTATATCAGTCAACTCTAAAAGACTACCTCAGTGATACCACTTTATCTTCGCACGATAATCAGCTGCTTGTGACCGTATGGTGCTGAAAAGATGTAGACACCCTGGCGCTATAGGGTTGCCCAGGATACTTCGGCTTTACACTAGGTCCTGGTCCAGGGTTTACCACTTCTGTTTATATAAATCGTTATGGTTGTACCGCAGCCAATCATCAGCCCGAATTACCAAGTTGTTGCTGCTCTTGTTGTTGTTAATGATAACAAACTAAAAGTAATAAGTTCCGTAAAGCCGAACAAAGTACGGTCGCAAGTTGAGCATGTGAAGAAAACAAGAATAAGAACAAGTGTAACCAGCAAAAAAAGCAATAGGTAAGCAAATCATACCTTTACGATGATAGAATCAACTGATGCCGAGATAATGGTGCGTAGTAGCTCGTCAGTAGGGCGCCGCCATAAAAATGACAACGAATGAAGGGAAAGTCGTGCAGCAACGTTTTCAACCCTGATGCGCTGATAATCGGACAAAATAGCTCCACTAGAAACATATGAAACAGTGGGCACTTCGCGTTTGATAACAGAAAGGGCGTGAAACAAATCTTCAACTTCATCCGACTGGTCGTTTCCTGAATAATACAGGCTCCGACAACTGGCAACTCCGACAATTGGGAATTGGTATAGTGGCACTCGAAGTGACTTAGATATCAAATGGATTCCTTCACTTGCCACGCTTTGATACATGTAGCTATCGATCTCTAGGGCACTGAGTTGATGAAGTCAATTGTGTGTTGACTCACTATGATTGGTCCATTGGTGGAGCGAGGTTGACTATCGCCTCTAGCTTGTAACCGTGAGCAACACATTCCATAATACTGAAGACACTGTCCTTTCCTCCACTGAGAAGAGCAACGAATCCTGACATTTGTATCACCGATTATTGAAAGTGCTAGCGAGCATCCACCTGAGTTGGGAGATAAGGTTTTAAAATGTAAATGCGGCATAACGTTGATTACTAAAGAATAAATTGGTTAGTCACAAAGAGGGATCAAAGGCACTACGCATCTGCAAGACGAGAAGACATCATCAATATCATCAAGAGCAGCAATATACAATCGAACCCACTTTATTGCCCACCATCGGGAGATCTCAAATGTGTGCAATAAAGCGGGGTGGGCAATTAACCGATATTGCCATTTGTCCCAAAAGGGGAACAATCATTGAATTATTGTACAGTATATCAGTTGAATTGTAACGTGATAAGAAAGAGAAAATACGTACCTTTAACTGAAGTCTACAAAAACGTTTATTCAGAAGAGTATGACTTATAATTTAAAAGTTATACCATAAAGCATCTTACCTGGATAGCTAATATAAACTGGCACTACTGTATATTTTTGCAGAGAGAACAATCCAACGTCAGTTGTATATTATTTCGTGCAGATATCCCAGTCAGTTTCGCTCTGATGAAGTCCAATTGGGACTAGAAATCGTTGCCTTGCCCATGCAAAAGTCCGCAGCTACACAGATCATTTACACAGTTATTTACTCTTGAATGCGACATGCGCTGATTGCTGTTACTCACGGAGTCACGCGGCACGTCATCCTTTGAGTCGCTGCCTTCTTTCTGTTCTAGTCAGTTTTCTAAAATTTTACTGACGAGTTTATCGTCAACAGATGCCAAATCTGAGGTACATTCCATATCGTTGTCAATGGCGACGAACTCTACTGCATTCATGACTGAGATTGTGCAAGCGCTGATCTCGTCTTCAGCGATGACGGCGTCATCAGAAAGTGCATCAGATTCTAGTCGACTGAAGCCAGCATGCCGAAAGCACCCTTTTATTGTTGAACCGGTAACTTGTCTCCAACTTTTTAAAAGGAACTTACTTGCATTGTGCACAGAAATCTTGGTATTGACATCCACCACTGATGATGAGTCGGATAACACGTTGTTTTTGATGTGATAAGGAATTCGGTGCACAACTGCCTTTCTGTAACGGGTTCTCAGATTCATAATCACACTTTGGTCCACGCGTTGAAGAATGTTGGTCGTGTTTACCTGCAAAACTTCCATTTGAATGTCTCTCAGTCCTTCTACGCGTTGTGCAGTTATCCAAGAGCAATATAACTTCTTGGCCACACTGATCTAGCACCTTGTCCCACTTGACGACCCATTCGGTGAAAAGTCCTTTCGACATCCACGCATTTTTGTTATCTCCGTAAGTACGTTCATGCCATTAAAATATTGTGGCTTTTTACGTTTTAAAGCAATACTATATTTCTTTTATCCGTGCCAGGCATACTCGTGCAGCACAGAAAAATGACCCTATCCATGGCTTTTTCGATCTCCTGGGTTTATCTGCAGCAAAACACAAAAAGTATTCTAGAGTTGCCCGGTAGAAAAAACCTATTTCGTCTGCATTGTACCCGCTGTCATCATAAAAAGCATTTAAAATTTCAGACAGTCAATCTTTCAGCCAATTTTCACAGACTGCTCTGTCCGCGGCACTCGTTTCGCCATGTGCACATTTATACACAATTTGAGTCCTATTCCTCCATCTTCGCAAATGGCCTTCTGTGGCAGCACAGGTTTTTCCAAGTCCTTCCCCAAATTCTTCTGCCTTTTTCTTCCGAAGCGGGCCTGTAACTGTTTGGTAGTGCTCACGAACCGAGATCCTCCAGTCTTTCAATGCAGTTAAAACTTCTTCATCATTTCCACATCGCATTCTTTTCTGAGAGCTTGCAGTGCCATGCGACAAATTCTGTCGGAGTTCCTTTGGCAATCAACCTGGCTAGGGTAGGAGGAGAAATGTGTAATTCACGCGATATCTTGATCTGCGACGTTACTGGTGGATATGTTTTACTTTGTCCAAAATGTCCAAGTTTTCTGTCAAGGACAAATCGTTTCTGTTACTTGTCAAACTTGTGTGTAACCATTAGAGTAGTGACAAAGGTGGAGGGGTAAGTTTACCCGACTTCGCACATTTCTTGAGTTTTGAATAGGGAAGAGGATTTTCCCACAGCCGTCTGTACATTTAGTTTGCTCGTGTATTGAATGACGCAGGTAACCTTTTCTGATATGTTAATAACGTCGCCGAGATCTTTGTTGTTCTTGACTCGATCGGACTGCCTAACTGTGGGGCAATCGTAATAAAAGGGTCAAAAAGAGGGCATAAAATCGACAGCACAGCTCATGCAGCTTAGAAATTAAGCGGTGGGAAGACCGCGGTAATGAGCAATTAGGCGGTGAAGATTTAGCATATTTATGAGAAAAGAATTCGTATTTTGAAAAACTGGGCAATGAAGCGAATGGGCAATAAAGCGGTTTGGCTGTATGGATACTTTGAACTGATGATTCGCTGCCGTACAACCATAATGACTTGGGTAAGTAGCAATAATAAAAATTGGACTGAGATCTTGTACAAAACCTATATGAGCAATTCCCTTCAGTTGTTTGAACAGCACAATCAGAAGACACTGGTAGATACTAGAACATCGTATTATCTCATCTGTGTCAGCACATTAACTGGGAGATCTTCATATATGTCACATCGAATAAGCAAATCAATCACATTCAGGGTTGTGGTTAGTGGTGTTGGCATCAGGACTATGGCAACCGCAAGTTGACAACTAGTTGCTTTTGGACACACAAAACGGGTCTAATTTGGCCTTTTGCGACAGCCTCAGTAGATCGCAAAAAGTGTGATTCGAAACGTCGATAAAGGACTAATTCGTTGACGGGTCGCCAAAATGCCTGCCGGCGGCTTACGCAAACATTTATCATCGGAGGCGGTTGGTTAACCTCGGTTGGCAAGTGTTCCTTCCCTTTGGAATCCAAAGCGTTGTCGCTCAGCCGACGTAAATGACTCCACAATTAAACACAAACAGACAAACCCAATTCGATTCAGCGCCGACGGTTTCATCTGTCCTTACTGAACGTAACAACAACTTTAGGGCTTTGTTGAGAAGTACCGATTGCGCAGCACAGCATGTATGCTGCACTGTCGAGGTGACAGTTTAGTTGTACATTTTGCGGCGCCGTTACCCTTGAATGATAGCTCAATGTATACCTTTTTCTTTGGTGTCATCAACACCGTTTGTTTAGGCGGTTTGACTCGGCTGTGCTTTTCACTCTGTAGGACTATTAAGTACCAGTCCGAGACGATGCGCCTAATCGAGCGCAGATACCAGAAGGCAAATGAAGTCGGACACAGTGGACTATATTCGAAGGGCTACAAAAGATTTGGACGGATGAAGCGAGGCAGGAGCGAACGTTAGCACGGTAACTTACCGAGCAGACAAGTGTCGAGCAGGATTCAGGCCAACATGAGCACAGTGTAAAGGAGATTAAAACAAGAAAGCATAATGCACAAGCGGTCAGCAATGAAATCGTACAAAAAAGATAGTTGTTATTTTTTGGAGCGCCACAGAGATCCCCCTGGAAGGCTGAACAAAAGAGGCATTCGATGTCGAAAATGATGAGCAAACTGAAATTTATTGGGCAAAATCGTGCAGAGTAACATAGAGTGAACGTTTGTGTCAAATGGGGGTTCGTTGCAAATCGGAGTCCGCTGTGTCCTTTGTTATTAAGTATTAATTTTTGGATACATAGCAGGGCGCATTCCGGGGAGCCGTTGGAGCGGGCCTGTCGGACTTCAAAAAAACTGGCTAGACCAGAAAAAAGGCGGATGGAGCCTCAATCTACGCTTCTGCCAAATGGTACGCTTGGGAGTGGCCTCCCCCCGCCCGGCGCAATAACGACCCTCGTCCCACGAAGAAACGTCCTACATTCGGGTCCGAATGCCCGTTGACAGCAACGATTACCGAAAAACATCGATCGTGAGGGCCAGTTGATTGAAGGGGATGGCCGGGCATGTAGGGAGGAAAAGAACAAGCCAAAAAGGACGAACGAATGGCTTGTGTGCAAAAAGATTTGCATCTTTTGGGTTTTTATAATTTTTTAAGGGTTAGATATTTTGTGCTTTAAAAAAGTTAATCGATAAAAACTGGGCAAATATATACAATACTTACAAATTTAGGTGTATTTACACTACATAATGGGTGAAACGAGCCTTACGAGCCTCAAGACCACGGCGATTGGTCGTGGGAGGCGACACGTTAGTTTCGGGAGATGTCAAGACGGCTGATGCTTATGGACCGGGATCATGGTTTGGTTCGAAGACGCTTGGATGCTGAAAATTGGTGTGGTTAGTTGTAACGTGGCAAGAAGCAATGCTATACGATGGAGGCGAGGTGGATTCCTCCGTAAAGGCCGGTTTTGGGCGATCGATGGTGAAAACTTCGTGTTGATCACTGCGGTCCATAGTGTATGTCTTATTCTCACATTGTAGCAGTTTGAATAGTCCTATGTACGGCGACCGAAGTGGCTGCCTAACACAATCTGCGCGGAGGTGTGAAGACGTGGATAGCCTCTCTGACAAGTACACTGGTTTCTTCTGGGATCGAGGATCGCGTGGACGTAGCTCACTCAGTTGGTGAGCCGATCGATCGGTGTAACTTCCGTAGTCCAAAGAGGAAGAATACGGGGCTGGTGCCAGCAATTGTCCAGGCAAACGCAACGTGAAACCGTAGACTAGCTGGGTTGGCGTTGCGTCGAAGTCTGTCTTAACGGTGTTTATTAAGCCTAGGAGAACGAGAAGTGTTTCGGACAATGAAGGATCTGTGTGCGCACGTAGTGCTGCCCTCGACTGGCGGTGAAAACGTTCCACTATGCGGTTAGTGGCCGGATGATAAACCGTCGTCTGGACGTGTCAGCAATCTAAGCGTTAAGCAACGAAGCGAACGTGGACG